ACAAAAGGGTCTTCTCATACCTTGGAAAGAAAACACAACACAGATGTTATTCCCATGACAACATACTGAACCTAAGGTCCATGTTAAAAGACACAAACTGGGATCTATTTACTGAACAAGCTCTTGATAACACAATTGCCAACATAACACATTATCTTAATTTCTGTCTTGATGTTTGTTGTCCAAAAGAGACAATCTTCTTAAAACTCGATCGCTTCTCCTCTTCTCAACTCAAAAAGCTCCGCCGTGAAAAAGAAAGGTTCTTCAAAATGAAAAACAAATCTGGTGTTAAGAGAATGAACACTTTGATTAAGCTTGAATTACAAAGATTGAATGCTCTCTATAACCAGAAGTTTCTTTCATGTAAATCCCCATCAAATATGTGGAAGTTATTAAAGGAAATCACAGGTGGTAAGCAAATGTTGAATGATATTTCTGTAGATGTTAACATGCTAAATGAATCCTTCATATGTATCCCAGCAAATGTTATGATTCCTAACTCAAATAGTGTAAACAATGACTGCTTCTCATGCTTAAACACATACGATGTCCTCAAGTGTCTTCAATCTCTCAAGCCTACTCAGTCCCTCGGTCCTGATGGTGTTCCTGCTGTTATCCTTAAGGAGTGTGCCGACATCTTGTGTTCCCCGCTAACTGACATTTTCAACGAATCTTTTTCCAAAAGTATTATACCTGAATCATGGAAAAACATCAAGATCGTTCCAGTGCCTAAATCTACAAGTGGACCTAATGTTAAGTTTAGACCCATTTCAATTACCTCACCCTTTTTGAAAGTTATGGAAAGACTTATTTTACTTAATCTTGATCCCTCTTTAAAACCTTTCAACGACCCCAACCAGTTTGCTTATAAACATAGTAGGAGTACGTTAGATGCCGCTGTCGTCCTCCACCATAGCATAGTCTCTAGTTTAGATAAAGGAGCTAAATATGTTCGCTGTGCCTTCCTTGATTACACATCTGCATTTGACTCTGTTCCCAGGTCTCTCTTGCTAAGTAAGCTTGCTGCAACACAGGCTGAAAGCTGGACAAATAAGTGGTTGCATTCCTATTTTTCTGAAAGGAAGCAGTACACCGTCTACAATGGAAAATCCTCCACTACCTCACTTACTTTAGCTGGTGTTCCTCAAGGTGCTGTTCTTTCTCCCTTTCTGTTCTCGTTTTTCTTACATGACTTGCCTCATTCTGATGTAGCCACTTTTGTTAAATATGCCGATGACCTCTCGGTTTCTATGCCTGTCAACTCTCAGTCAGATTGTTCCAAATTAAATAGCTTTCTGTCGGAAATTAGTCAGTGGTCCTCTTCAAACGGACTTAAGCTTAATCCGTCTAAATGTCAGGTAGTCAATTTCACTTTCAGACGTAAATGTGACCTACAGCAACTAGTTAGCTCACATGGCCCCACTCTCATTGACGACACAGAGGTTGAAAATACATCTTATGTTAAGTACCTTGGGCTGAGTTTTTCCACCGATCTTTCCTGGTCTTCCCACATCTTGCTAGTTACTAGAAAGATGTTTCGCTTAACGTTCTACATTAGGAAATTTAGGCAGTCTGGCATAAACCAGTCTTTACTTTCTCAGTTTGTAAATTCTTGTATTCTACCCATCCTCCTTTACTGCTCCCCATTAGTCTTTCCTGGACTACTTAAGAAAGACTTTGCTTCGCTGAGAAGGGCACTAAAAGCTGTTAGTAGGGCAAGTGGGTTATCGTTAAACCAACTGGTGAACACTATTGTAGATAGACATATTATGTCATGTAAGAAACTAGCGAATACAATATTGTCGGACCCCAAGCATCCTCTCTATACGCATCTATCTCCTTGCATTTCATCTGGAAGAACTAGAAGCAGCTACAGGAGGCTATATGCTAGGACTACCAAATACAAAAACTCCACAATACCATATCTGGCACAGCTGTTATGTGATGAGAAATCCGTTAGGTATGACACGATAAACTTACTGCGGCACTCTAACAAATAGTCCCATTAGTTTTTGTTTTCCTTTCCTCGTTACTATCACACTGTTGTTCTCATCTAGTACCACACATCAACTTTATATTTCAAATCCTGTGTTGCATTGTTTGAAATGAAATACTCTACGTTGTTTTTTTTTCTTAATTTTTAATATTTATTTATTTTATTTATTTATAACTAATTTATTTTATTTTTATTTATTTATCTTTGATTTTTAAAAATCTTATATAATTTATGAGGTAATTAGATGCAATATACTGTAATGCACGCTGAAAATTCCATACCTGTACCACAAATACTGTTTGGAATAAAGCTGTTATTATTATTATTATTTTCGTATTATTTTCACACTGTTTTACAATTTAAACAATGAGTTGTTTCTGTATACTTAGCAGATGGAAATACTGGTTTGTTGAACCACAGTGGTGCTAACGCAAGATTTCGGAATCATATCAAGGATCCAAATCACCACCAGGAGCACTATACATCTAAGTTTCTTATCATATTGTACCAGGACAATGATAAACATTTGAAAATAGAAAAGAGATAGTTCACTGTACTCAACAGAGATGTGTAAATCAAATTCAGTATGCTGATTGTAGTTACTTTTTATAAATGTGTTTAGTTTGAATTGTACTGCCATTCGAAATGGTATTTCTTCATATATCAAACGTATTCTGATAGTTAAAGAGCATGAAAGTACCTCGTAATTGCACAGTACGATTTAGGAACATAGAAAAATAGCTGAAACAAACCAGAACAAAATTAGCTTGATGCGGCATATAAGATGGAAAATTTGACAGCTTTTACATTCAGACAAGCAATCGTTCGGTACTATAGTATGTTCAAATATAAATACATATAGACCATTGTGACTGATTTTTAAACATATCACTTCTAAACTCGAATCATTTGATCTATTAGTTCCATGGGTTACAGGTTTAGAAAGTCCAATTCGGCACACAGTAAACACCAGTATTCTAAAATTTCATCATTTCGTTTTCCAACTTTTGTCTCACTCCCATTAACATATTAACAAGGCTTCCTGTTGAGTCTATTATTATGATCATTTTGCCTTAAAATATTTGATTCTGTTAAAAATTAACATATATATGAAAATATTCTTTTTAAATATTGTTTTTGATTGCTTTGGATTCCAAGAGGAATACAGAGTTTCGCCTTTGGATTTTCAGTAACAAGGGTGTTTTTCACTGGACTGGGTAGCTAGTCTAACGCTAAACCTTTTATTTTTCCAAGGATTACGACTAGTTACGAGGGGTTTAGGGAAATGTCTGTTGGGGATTGAACCCGGACCTCACACGTTGCTGAGGAGCATTCTGCCATTGAATCACTGATGCATGTTTCCAGATTAGTATTTCTGTTAAAAACATTTTTGTTTCTTTGGGCTTTGAAGTTATTGTAGCAACTGGATTGATTTTCCACAGTAGGACTGCTAGCCACACACCCAGTTTCCCTTTTTTTCTCGGAACTAGGACCAGCCTGTGAATTATTGACCTTGTAAACTTGGCTAAGATAGGCAACAAAAATTTCTGACAACGAAACAACCATAAATCTATCGTCCAGCAAACTTACAGAAGGAAATGGAGATAAATTGGTTATACAATGAGCAGATCATTCACTAACACTTGTTATCAGGCTGTCCAGTAGGACCTGAATAGGAAACGACGATGTAGGAGTGGGTCCAAGACTGATATTGGAATAAATCGTGTACAGAAGTAATCCAAGCTAATACAACCACCCTAAAAAGACTTCAAAGAACCCAATGAAATGGAGATATGGTGCTGAAGCCCTATACAAACCTCAGAACCAAAGGAAGTAATAGTAATAATAATATTACTTTAAAATACTTTAAACTATAATAATTTACAATGTATTTGTAAAGTTTGTCTCTATAAAAGTAATAATAATAATAAGAGTACAATAAACAAACTATTTCAACAATTATGAAAAAACAACATCAGAAAAACAAATATGGAGTAATATATTTTTAAAAAAATACAATGAAAAGTGTTGTAAAATACAAAAAAATTGAAATTTTTAATTTTTCCCTGTTCTTCTACAAATGGAAAAACGAATGTTTTTTTCAAAAATGTTTTGTTTTAATAATAGTGCTTAACTTTTAACTAACTCATGCTTATAATACTTTTGTTTCCTAAGTATTATGTATGTGGTAGTAACTGACACTCCATAATACATAGATGTCATATATGTATCAAAATGGTTCGAATGTTTAGTCTCATATTCCTGATTTAAATGGTCTGAAATACACCTGAAGCAAATTTTTTTGAAAAAAGTGTATTCTTTGTCATCTATCATTATATTTATCAATATTTTTCCCACTGTACAAATGAAGTTTGCTGTGTTAATAATACCAACATTGTATTGAAAATACAATGAGGGTGTCAGGAGTTTACTAACTGTGAATATGAATGTGTAAACAGCAGACATTTACAAAAACAAACAATAATTTATCCTATGAACTTTCTGTATATGAATACGAAACCATATTTTTAATTTATCTCATATTGAAAAGTGTTCAATCCCAGAGTAATTAATATATAGGCAATAGTGAAACACATGCATCTTAACTTGTAGGTAGACCACATCGATGTCTATAAAATAACGGAATGAATAAATAATGTGAGATGCATCTCGTTGTCCGGATATTATTTTGATGTTGATTTCGATTTTGATTCTGTTCATTATTATAATAAAGCGGAAATGCACATGGTAATTGGAGCAGGACAGGTGTATTGTTGTTGCTTTAACGAACTATTTGATACAACACACATAAATTAAACATTTCATTCCCATGAATCAGACAATATTTGCACAAAATTACAAATGTTACCTGGCTGGCACTGTTTCTTTACACACACGCACGCACACACATGTGTATTTGAGCTATATACAAAATTTCGATTTGTTAATTCTTTTAATGAAATATATATCATGACAAACATTATCATTATTATAATTATTATCATTAATCAATATCATGAATTCTTTTTGGTAATGGATTATAAAAGCAGACATGATATTCTGGAAAACAACGACAACGATAATTACGCTTGATTTTATCACTTTTTGATGGAATAACACCCATGAAATATCGATCATTACATCCAAGTTGTTGACAGAGATCACGACATGTTTTAGCTGTTTCAACAACACACAGAAAATAGCCAGTTGCTAAAAGGAAGTAAGAAAAAGAAAGAAGGTGTAATAAGATTAGATGACCGTTTTTATCAACATAAATGTAAAAAAAATTAAGAAAGTAATGGTAACCATATATAAACTTACGGAAGCGTTCGAAGTGAGGACAGGAGTGAGGCAAGGCTGTCTAATATCGCCAATGATCTTCCTGATTGCAATAGATTGGATAATGCGACAAACAACGGGCAATGAGGAAACAGGCATAAAATGGACTCATAAAAGAAAATTTGGAGGATCTGGACTTCGCCGATGATATATGTCTGATTTCCCACAAACTGGAAGATATGCAAGTGAAAGCAACAAGCTGGCAGAAGAAGCATCAAAGATAGGACTTCAAGTGAACATAGATAAAACAGAGGTGATGAAGATTCCTGGCCAACAGCAACAACAACAGATGACAATCGGCATAAATGGGAGGAACCTGAAAAAAACAACCTCCTTTACCTACATGGATGCATCGTTTCAACTACAGGAGGAACTGACGTGGATATCAAACCCAGAATCGGAAAAGGAAGATAAGCTTTCATTACTCTCAAGTCTGTGTGGAGGTCAACAGCACTCAGAATCAAAAATAAGATCCGGATTTTCAACTCCAAAGTGAAGTCAGTCTGTGCTACTCACTATACGTATCAGAGACTTGCACTGCGCGTCATAAAGAGCATCCCAAACAAACTACAGACCTTCATTAAAAGTTGTCTTCGCTCAATACTCAAGTTCAAATGGTCGTCCAGAAAAGATCAGCAACAGGGATCTCTGGCAATGAGCGAACCAACCAGGAACCGATTGTGAAACAAATAGGCAGGAAGAAATGGAGATGGATTGGCCATACGGTGAGGAAACCATGAAGTGAGGTCACTAGACAAGCCATTGCTCGAGTGGAACCCGAAAGGGAAGCGGCGAGTTGGTCGTCAGTGCGAGGGTGACTTGGCGGAGGTCATGTGAAGAGGAGATGAAAGCATGTGGGCAGACGTGGAGCGGGGTGAAAAAGTTAGCAGAAAACAGAAGGCAATGGAGACGCGCAGCTGAAGTCCCATGTTCCTCTAGGAATTAAAGGATATAATAAATAAATAATAATAAATATATAGAGAATACAAAAATGTGAATGAAAGAATACCACTGAATAATTAATCAAAATATCCCTTTTGAATTTATGAATCTCACATACTTCAGCTGTCAGTGATTCAGTAATCGAATACTTAGCAGCCACACAGGAAAGTCAGGTTAGATCACCTAGTTTATTATCTCGTAGAAAGCCCACAAAAGTAGGAAGGTCGGGTGTTAGGTTAATCCCACCTTATTATGGAAACAACACCACTTTTACTGAGAATTCAAAGCTTGGAGTCTTATGTTCCGCCCAGAACACAAAGAATGAAATATGTGAACAAAATTAACACTAATCAAAAGTATAGAATGCTTGACCCATAACAAGAATTAAGTTATTTCACGGAAACCACAACTGACGAAATCTAGCCAGTCCTAGACAAAAACACTGAAACCCTTGCGGAGATGATGCTAATCACCACATACTAGAATTGTTATGATTTCCAAGGGAAGTGAAGTGATTACTGTACTGGCTCAGTCTACCACCCAACAGTCAGTACACCATTACAGATTCATCTTAAAATAACAAATAACATTTTGGGATTTTAAAAGAGCATTCCAAATATTCCTTGTTTAAAAGGTGAGATGTATCAAGAACCAGAATCCGTTATGGTGATATGCCACCTACATTCAAGTGATAATTGAAGCACAAATTATAGATTGAAAATATGTGTTGAAGTTCAACCCACTGCCATACTTCCTACCAAGAATGATATCACCATGGTGACAGTTATAAACAATACACGTAACTGTATCACCGAAAAAAATTTTTAAACATATCAATATTGAATATCTGAGCATTAAATCCTATGTTTCTTTGGGTGCCACATTATTCATCGTATGCCTCTCTATGCGGTGGATTTCAGCTGCCAAAGAATTGAAGGCGTAATGTTGGGTCTTGTTCTGAGACATTATGCTAAACCGTCATACTTGAGGACACATATTGTGTTTAACAGCGCTATTTATTACAGATACTCGTGAAATCATCAACCTTGGATGTTGTTCATTGTTTTCAAATGCTATCAACCATTTTGGTTTTATTTATCACCACAACACTTTGTTCCTCATTTATTCTGAAACTACTTTGTCAATTACAGATGAACAACAATCACTTTTCCGTATACTACTTATATTGATCTTTAGAAGTAGCATTCATCACATTGTTAACCTTTCTTAAACTAATCTTACTTCAGACAGTAGTACATAGTAATGAAGTTACTTCCTTAGAATAAGTAACGCTTATACATCAGTAAGCAAAGGTATATAACCTCATCATTTACCCAGTAATCGTTACCTAAGACTACATACAGTCTCTAATTTCTGCTTCCGTGATCCTACCTCATGTCAGCAGTTCAGCACAGACAAGTGTGGTCGAAATTCTCTAGTTTTCTCATATCCTGTGTTCAATTTTAAATCATGATAGTAAACTTCTTTGTAGTAAACTTGAGCACCAAAAATAAAACAAACAGGTAAATTTAAAACGTGGACTACACCTTTGTGATGAGGTTTCTTTCAACAGTTACTTGATTAGACCTTATGAGATAAATTCAGATTTACCTAACAGACCAATGATATAAAGATTTACATTTCATTAGTTGAGGTTGTCAAAAGGACCCTTCAATTTTTCAAGTACTGTAGCTTCATTTCACTGCATATCTGAAGCTCAGATCAAAACCTAGTTTACAATTAGAAGACCGGTATACACATAATACTAAGGATCCAAGGGAAAGAACACATCACAGCAGTAAATATCCAGTAACACAGGATACCTTTGAAAAGTCTCAATTATTCAAAACTATTCCCACGGATTTCACTACTCAAACAAGACCTGTCTAAATGATAAACTATTATTTCATTCATTTATATCAAATTTCGTCAATCATGTGTATATCAGTAAGTCTAGCCTAGAGGGTCAGACTGTTTCAAACTAAATAAAATTAACCATTTAACACGAAAGAACTATTCAGTCAAGTTGTAAACAATCTACACACCACAGAATACACATTGATATTTTGTGTATCAGATCAGTGTTCCAGTCAGTACTATAGACTATGCTGTTTGATATAAGGAGTACTCACTGTGATAATAATAAATGAGATAACATAGTTTAAGAAAAGCCGCCCAAACAATAAGGCATGTAAGTTATGTTAGACAGATCAAACTGATTCTTAAGAGTTCATTTAAAGTTCGTAGATCATACTTCTTCTGTTATTATGTCTGAACTGTTAAAGTCACATGAGAAAGAAAAAAAGTAGCTTAAATATAATTTCATTCATTAATCCATATTCTATTCGAAAATAGCAAATATTATCTTAATAACAACTATTTTAGGCTTTTAAATTACATCACGTTATTACATAAAATACTAATTGAAATAAACAGACTATAAAAAAAGACTTTCATTTCATTGTATACAATAATTTGGTAAACAAAATAAGATTGTAGATTTTTAAAAGACAAGTAAACAAAAATGTATCGAGACGATTGAATTAGTCATTTGCATTTTTCATTAGATGGAGTGTTCTATCCAAAACTTCAAAGATAGTTGTCTTTTGACGTAAGATTTAGATAAATTATGTGTAACATTCTAAACAGTCGACTATAGATTAGTCAATTGCTTTCTTTGTCTCTCCACCTCTACTTATTTATTTGTTAGTAACGTCAATCTAAAGGTTAATTAGGTTAATAAACCATTTGGCAGCTAATACTTAAAGTTAAATACTCTTAACTTGCCTGATACTTAACCGACAGAATTCAGTAAACATAGGCATTAAAGAATAAATGAACGTTATTGGTTATCCTCTGGTAATCAATCGATTTATTCTACACTAGTTCAGTCATGAACCCAGATACATATCTCAGTGGTGATGTCTGTAACTACGGCACTATATGGTGCGGGTTCAGACTTCAGGATTATCATCAGTTCCCTCGAAGTAACAGATAAATGTCCAGGACATCGTACCGACTGCTTCTAACTTCAGTATATACAGACAGACAGATAAACAGAAAAGAATAGACAATCCCAACAGTGGTGTGAACACGGGCAGCAATTTTTCTCGAAATATTACCAGTAACGAAACTTATCATTGTATGTAAACTATTGAAACAATTATACTTTATTTGATCTATTCCACAATGCTCAAACTATTTACTAACATTCAGACAGAAATATGTCAATTGATTTGTCATACTTCGTAGCAATATATTAAAGATGAAGTGAAAGGAAAGGGAATAATGTTAAAATGAACAACCATTATTATGCAAAGAGTTAATTAATGATTGGAAAATGCTTAAAACTCCTGACATTTTAAAGAATAAGTAAGTTAACTTTTGCGGATGATTTACAACTACTCATATTACTTCAGTAGTATAGTGTGTATTTATTTAAATTTCTCTCAACAGAAAGTAAACATGTTTAGAGTTGTGTATAAAGTTTGGTCTGTGTAGATCGACAGTGACACCAAGAAACAACAGAACACATATTTAAACCTTCTTTTGGACCAATGCGAATTATAAGGTTATGAAATTTTAATTTGAAAATATGCAGATTTCGTCACGAACCGACGCTATTTTAAGATAATCGAGAACCAGAGAACACTGGATCTCTTCAGCAATTTGTATTACACGCCCTACCATGAATCGAACACGTGACATTCAGAGTAAGAGGTCAAGTTAGCTGACTACTTAGTGAACTCCAGTCAGTTGGTTCGTGACGAAAACAAAGCTAAAATTAATTCAAATCCCTACAGAAACCCATAATTGAAGTAACAAGCCGTACACCATGAATTCCGAATGGTTTCACTACTTTTAATTAGTCAAATAAGTCGAAAATGGTGGGTTTTCGTACAGAGGTTTCTTGTGGACATCATTTCTGTTCATTAATTCTTCTTCTTGAATAGTGAATCCTCAAACTACGCGTAGTAGGAACTTTAAAGTGACCAAATAACTCAGTATGGCAATTTTTGAAAATTATGCTATAAAGTGTATATCATAATATTCAATTATGCGAACAGTATTGACTGAGGCAGGATTCGATAAAACAACACACTATTTAAAATTGAGGAGCTTTAACACCTGATAATCAATTCAGAAATTCGGTGAAACTGATGTCTTCGAATACCTGAAATCACTGAATTCCTATGCACCTAGGAACTAGATGTCAAAAAAATGTTCCCAGGTCAATTGGACAGTAACTAAAACAACTTTGGTTCTTAAGTCGATGAACAACTTCCAGAAAAGATGTGAAATTCATTTGCTTGTGTTAATCATTGTGATCTTGAAGTCAACAGAAAATACACCTATTAGTGTTTTTACCAAAACGTCCGTTCGATATGTGGAAGTATGTTGGGTAATACCACTCACTGTTTTATATCACTGTATTTTCAGTCTGAACAAAGGTGTTGAGTTCTTTGAATGTATCGTTTTACATTATCCGATTAACTTGGCTCTTATTCTAGATTCTTCTTATTTAAAAAGCATACTAAAACACAATGCATTTTACATCATAAACAGCCCAAAGTCTTATTTGTCTATGCTTGAATTGTGTCCTTGATGTTTCGGTAACAGTTTTCGTCATAGGAACTTATTGAAGAAAAAAATGCTTTCTCGTTATCCTAACTTCAAGTTTCAGGTTAAGCGTTTAATAATAGAAATTTTGGACTAGATATACCTGCAACACAGAAGGTGCGCTTCCACTTAGACCCTAACTCAGTAATAGTTGTTGTTAACTTTAATTTCCAGTGGCTCATCAGCTTTGTGAACCAGCTCACATTATTTTATCAATGTATTTATGCTAATGGAAACAATAATAAAGACAGTGAATGCAATAAAATAAGTGATATATAGAGACAAACCACTCTTCTCCAAATAACGTATACTTGATTGTTGTGTAGAAACATTAGAAGTTGAGGACTAGAACTAATGACCACTGATAACACAATAGGTAAAAGTACAACGAATGCATTCCTATGAATTATATATGTTTCGTGTACAAAAAAATATACAAGCGAACCTTTCAACTAATATATCTTGAACGGTCACTTGAATTATTTTGACACCAAAGAAATATTCTGGAGGTTTGAAGATGAGAGTATTATATACAATTGGTGGATGGTGGCTAGCAGTGGAATCCAGGATGCGCATTTCGTCCTATTTGGGACTCGTCAGAAGCATCTGTACAAGAAGCCGACATGTCAACCTGAGACCGAGCACTTTGGTCCAATCAATCGACGGGAAAATCAAAAATTCAATTCAACGAGAGTATTATACTTTGTCTATTTAAATATTAAGATGTTAACTGTTAATGCATTAGTTTGCAATAATATGTATATTAGCAGCGTTCAAGAATCTATGTCTATTTATCACTAAAGAGTAACCAGTGTTACCTTAAGGTTGAATAAGTTCCATCAGTCTACTCAAGGCTGATAACCATGATTAGTGTATTCGGCGATGCAGGTTCGAATCTCCATGAAGAAATCAGTTCCACTGAAGGTTCAGAAAAGCGTTGTTGATGATTGTCGTTGAGTGTGAAACCAAGGTCTAGTGTATTCGACGGATTGCCTTTAACTCTTTTACATCTGTTGTGCGTCATTGACACAGTGGTAAAAATGTTCGCCAACCACGCAGGTGGTTCTAGGTTAGATCCCCGGCCGACATATTCCTCTACCTAGCTAAGCCAGTAATAAGACTGATAAAGAGGGAAGGTTGGGCATGAGGCTAACAACCCAATCCCGTATAAATAGGCATCACTGCTACTGAAGCCTCAAAGCTTTAACTTGAAACCCGGTGTTCTACTGAGAACGTAATGGAATAAAAAAACTTTACATCCGTTAGAGAATCTATAAATTCACCTGAGAAAAAACACTATGGAAAATTTGCATACTTTTGATAACTTTAAGAGAGAAAATGATATGATTTCATAATGAGCCATCAGACTTCAGAATTCATTAAAGTCACTCAACTACCACTTTATCAAACTACACTTCACTGTTCAACTAATAATAGTAATAATGATCACAATATTAATAATAACATAGTTACATTAAAACCTTTTTATTTAAGCGAATTAGATGAAGGGTTAAACAAAATAAAAATATCCATTAAAACTAACCATTATGATATCTGTAGTTTTCTTCAGGACACGGTTTTGAAAATTTCACACCTCTGACGTATATATCACTTGGTGCAGCTGAGGAAAAAGAGAGAGGAATAAGAGTTAAAAATGTAAGATGTTCCTTAAATTCGAAAAAAAGGATAGAATTTTGTTAAAACAATGTTACACTTCTAAATGAATGTTTATTACCGAAATTCATAATTAGACTGATAACTGTTGCACAAGAGGTAGCTCCAATGCCCAACTGACCTAGTTAATAACTCCTTGGCGTTTGAGACAGTGGATGCTAAGTTCAAGTCTCAGTAGGAAAACCATCACACACTGGGAATTGTAGATATTTTCAAGCAATTGTTTTGCAGGGATTTTGTTTGACCAGTTGAAGGATTTCATCATGAGCTGACATCAATTAGAGAACCATTGGAAAACTGGAGAACTGTTTCGTCCCAGTTTGGGACTCTTCATCAGTACGTAACCACTGGCGTTCGCACTCAGGACCCTCTGGTTACAAAGCTAGCGAGCTAGTAGATCATTAAGCCACTGGGATCTGATCCAAGGGCCCATGATTTCTAACCACCGACGAAAAGTCACAATCTAGGACAAAACAGCTGTCCAGTACTCCCTGCAGGTTTTCCAATGGTTTTCTAAATGAGATCAGCTCATGTTGAAATACTCCAAACAATTGTAGATACATCCAGATGACAAGTCCCAAATAGGACGAAATATCCATCCTGGATTCTACTACTAGTCACTGCCCAACAAATACATTATATTAATCTTTAGACATCCTCGAAACCTCCATGTTGGGAGCCATAATTTCAACGGAAACCAAACATTTCTGTCTAATATAATCAATTAACAGGAAAGACAAAATCAACTTACAAACAAATAATAATTCGGCACTGATTAAAAATAAAATAGGGTTATTTAGCAAATCAGTTGACAGATAAAGTTACAAAATTAAACGATGGAATAATATACACCGATAAATAATGATCCAGAGTAAGGTTGTAGGCTGAGATTTCTGAAGAGCACCATAACAGATATTAAGTACAGTTTAGTTACCACTGGTTTTTTGACCTATGAGGAAAAGGTAGGATGAAAGTAATTATTTCGTTTGAACTGATAGATTTTATTCGGCTTAGTAACTATTTAATATATTTGAAACTAATAAAGAGTTAAGAGGCGAGAAAATAGACTTAGGTCAAGTTAATTTATCTGAATCGTGTAATGTATTTGCGCAACACATTTCGAACAATCAAATCGATTAAACACGGACTTGTCATACGATTATATGTGAAATTAATAAAGAGTTGAGGTGAGAAAATATACTTAGACCAAGTTAAAACGACATGTTGAAGGTTAAAAATAACAATGAAGATCACTAAACCAAATAACAGAGGTAATAGTACATCTGCCCTGACTGGTATCAAAACAAAGTTTACCAAGGAAGGTAGTTTTAGTGTGATGACGAATTGTTTTTGAACGCATAAAGGTGGTTTAAGCTTTCTTATTGCTAGGGCTCACACAAAATTTAGGATACGCCTCAAACATGTTTAATAGATAGGTTTAAAAGATCTGTTAATGTCAATTTTATGTCCTGTCTCTATAATATCTTTCGCAATAGAGGAGCTAGGTCTCCTGTTCTCACTATTAATGGGTTCTGGGGATTCTGTTTCCTTCTGGAACTATTTAGGATATTCTGTGAAGCCCTTACTTGCAGATCGATGAGTCCTCCCTATGTATGTGTGGCCACACGTACATTTATATTAGTGAATACAGTGGGATGTGACATCATGTTTCTCATGGTGTAAGGGCTTAGGTGGATATATCGAGTTCATGTTCTCAATTATTGTGATCTTAACTCTATTAATTTCATGTATACTCCTATGATAGGTCTGTGTGTGATCACATTGTTAGAAATGTGTTGCGCAAATAAATTACATCTTCTTATTGCTTTATTTGATACATGAAATGCATATAGTGAATGATTGTCAAGAGGCTAGAAACTACATATATTTAATTTCACGAAATAAACTGTGTGAAAACGACAACAAAAATGACAAAATATCAGAAGTAGGGCGTATACTTAAAGGAAATCACTTGTAGTAATAATCCGAGCAAGCAAAGTCGTTAAAGTGCAAACGTATGAAGTCAGCATTTAACAACAGAATAAGGGGATATAAAAAAAATATAACATGAAGGATCACTTTTAAACAGTAATAAGTGCTTATTAAGGTTATATTGATCCTGTTGTAGGCTGAAATTAGCAACTAATGTGTTCAGGTCAATTTGTTATCGATAGCAAAATATACTTTATACTCAAATTATAAACAAACAAGTCATATCTTGAGTTTTATTCACACATAAATGATTCACAAACTAGATAATGCTTTCAAAAGTTAATGGAAGAATAGGGAGAAGTTTAGTTGTAATATTATAAGGTTAAGTGAGTAAAATTTATACATATGAGTCATTCAAATTTTGTCCCTTATGCCTAGGCTATAAATAAATTGTATAAATTTCAATATTAGAGAAACAAAGCTGTCTCTTACCACTAGATTGTCAAAGGTTCATAAACTAATATCAGAGAACAAATGTGATAAAGACAATTCAGTTATCACTCCTAAGTTTCAGTAGGAATCAAATTCATTTCATGATTGCCTTCGCTATTTAAATACTTAGGCGAACTACTGAATTCAAGCCTATTTTAGAGCCTATTGTTAAGATTATCTGGGGTTGCCATTTAATTCAAGACTGAAATTAGAGTAATGGACGGTGTTTGAAAGTAAAATAAGAACGTGGTTTGTGGCAAGATACGAATAAACAGTCTTCGGAATATTCCTTGTGTGTTCCACCGAGTGAACTGCAAAATTCGCTTATGGTTATTTCAAATAGTTTCAACAAGAACAACTGAATACCTATCCTCGTTCTCTAATTCACCGAAATTAAAATTAAATGAGATCAAAATAAGGAATAAGCGGGTCAAAAACCTCAGTTATTGAAGCAAGTAAAGTCAGTAATTGCTTAACATTCGGGTCTTATATCTCTGTAGGTAGGTTGAATGACAAGTAATTTGAATACTACTATTTTGAATCTTGATCGCTTCAAAGCATTTATTCCCTGATAAACCAATACCTAAAGGAGTCCAGTGTATTTGATTTCGATTAACAGAACTGCTGATATTAAGTCAGACCTGTCATTTACGGTATTTTCACCTGATTGTTTGACCAATCAACGTACGATTCCTGGAAAATATACTTCAGTTCATGTTATTACACTTTAATGAAGCATACAAAACATACAAGGAGTAATTATACGATAATGACAAACGTGGGTGTGATAGAGAAAAAATTCAGCAAAAACTTGTTCTCGCCGTGGCATAGGGGTTAGGACGCTCACCAACCATGCACATGGTCTGGGGTTCAATTCTCAGCCGACGAACTCCTTTACCTCGCTAAGCCAAAAGTAATGCTGGTAAAGAGGAAAGGTTGGTCATGAGGCTAGCAACACCATCCTTTAAAATAAACACTGCTACAGAAACTTCAGTCACTAGCTTGAAGACCTATGTTACACTAGAGAACGTGAAGGAAAAAAACTTGTGGAGGTATGCAAAATCTTAAAGGTGACAAGAAGTGGAAACATCTGCGCGACTGTGAAGAGTTCTTTACTACGTCACTAGTATTCTTAATCCGCTAATTCTCAGATACCTAGTGACGATACACCGTAGCCTGCAAAACACAACGTGGTCGAAACTAGTTGTCGAAGCCATCAGGGAGTAAATAACATTATGTTTTACTCTGTACACTTTTAACCGTCTTGTGAACCAACCTTACACCACACATGAATGCTCATTGAGGATTTTGGAATGTCGGCATGAGAAATTTCTTCCCATCACTTTAGACAGTAAAGATTCGCAAGCTGATACATGTAGTTAAAAGCATACCGTCTCTTCATAACCAGTACCTTATCACCGCCTTAAATTAGAACAAAAATGAAGCAAGTCGGTAAATATCGAACAAGCTTTTTGCTTCTGTATTGAGATTCCGTCAGCAATGCCTCCAACTAGACTTTTATGAACAGCTGCCTTGACTTCCTACTGAGTATCAGATACCCAGAAAAAATCAGCCATGGGGAACTCTGACAACGACAAAGCCAAGAGCTCTTTATATTGTCTTGCTGACTTATAACCATAAAGCTTTTACTAAACATCAGCGTATGATCACAGTTCAATAAATATCGCGTAAGTGAGCTCCTTGAAATTACTGTCGATAGTCTGCCATTCGAATCCACTGTTTCATTTCACACTATTAGTTCAACATTGAAACAACTAAAACAAACTGATGTAATTGAGATCACACAAGTTAGCAGAGAGATTTCTTTTCGTAGACTCACTTCAGAGATGTACTTTTATCTTGTGGGATTCATACATGTAGTGTTGATCGACAATACAAGTCAGGAGTTACTATCAGTTAGTAACAGAATGTGTCAAAATTTTATAAGAAGTTAAAATGTTTTAAAAGTGGTGAATATTCTTGCGTAATTCTGAAGGTTAACATTTAATTACTTAAGTGATGAGCATTTCAAGTGTAGAACTTGGTCAATGTGGTAGAGTGTCATTCCATATTAAATAATTTGATATCAGATATCACACAGTGATGATGCAGTATTAATAACTGGATGACATTTCGAGTATCAAAACAGCTGTCCAATACTCCCTAGTTTTTAATGGTTCTCTAACCGATATCAATCCGTGGTCAGACTTGAAAATACTAGTAATTATTGCTCAGGTTATATTGTATTCAGTTAAATAATGAATTAAAAGCATTTTTAAGTGTACACTGCAATAAAATACATTTTTTGAAAATGTTAACAGGTTTCTGGTTGTAAGGTGAATAGACAGATGAAATATGTTTTGTGCTTAACATAGAAGCTATAACTTCATCAAAAAGTTATATGTTGACTGAAGTAAGACTTAGTGTAAGACGAAAGTCAACTTTAGACACTCAAAAGGCGCAGCTCACGAATTACCTTGCAGTGTGCATATGCGCTAAATATTGAATTCGGGCCCCTAACCCCGATCTTCTTTTAGCTTAACCTCAATCTAATCCAAAGCTATCTCTAACCTAACCCTGATCTATCTCTAAGAAACCTTAATATCTCTCTGATTAGGTTAACCTAACTCTGGAACATAGAACTTCAACAGCATATCTGCACTTTGTTCGGTTCTGTATATTACTTATCAGCTGCCCCCAAGACTGTCCATAAGCTTTGACTTCCTTCCCACATCGTCATTCCTAAGTTGGGTCCCACTCGAGGGCCTAGTGGGTGATGCCACCGACAGTTTCCACATATTGAATCACAGAGTCTTCTGGAGCCTAGCCAGGTAGTTTACACCACCCCAGGTAGTTCGAATCAGCCATCAAAGACTTCATTGACTGAGAACATGTTATAGTTTGACCATCTCACACTATTTTCCAGCCCAATCCGATATCACCTAATATTGTCGGATATGGAAGCTAGTGGTTCAGCATGCGTAACACATGCCCCACGATAATGCTATAAAAATCATGGACGAGGACTTGTCATCAAATTAAAATTTTTATTTTTCAAATCATATCAACTGAGGATGAAATCCAATTTGAACTACAGAATAAATTTTCAAGAGTTGGTTTGTAAGGATTAGATTTCATGGGCCATTGAATCGGGTCCTAGTGGCTGAATAGTATACAAGCTTGTCTTGTACCCATAAGGCCCTGGATTCGAACCCCAGTGGGTGCGTGCTGCCAGTAATTCCCCGACTAGGCTGGAGAAACAGCTGTCCACTACTCTCTGGTTGTCAATGGTTCTGCACCTGATATCAATCCATGGTCAAACTCGTATGATAAATAAATAAAAATCATAATATAAATATACATAAATAATATTGAACTTACTTTGTACTAACTGATACATATTCATACTGATTAGAACTCCAATTATCACATAAATCTGAAGTAATAGTCTAATGCATATGATGAACATGATATTTCGTATAATCTTGACTTTATTTCCTGGGTCAACTTTTTTTCCAATTCTTCTGTTAAATGTATATTGACTTTTTTGAGGGAGCTTTTATGTCACTTGTTGATGTCTTGGTTTTAGTTTTAAATTCAATCTATTTTTGAATTTTATTCTGACTATAAATAAATTTGACAATGTGTTATGTGATAACTAACATTTCATATTATTTTGCCTTTATATATATACATATATGTCAAGGTAACCTAACAAGATGTATACAAATGAGTGAATAAAACTCGGTTTATAATTATAGTTGTCATCCCGATATAAGTGGATAAGTTTCACATAAATAAAAACAACCAACCATTTATTGTCATTAATAAATAATTTACTGTACTAATATACCATCTGAGTTCGAAATCAAAATTATCATAATAGAGCTATAGATATACGCACATACGCACGCACACATATACGCAAATTTTAAGCCACCTACGCATTTACAGTATACTATAGATATATGCTTATGGGGACTAGTCAATAGTAATTAGGATGGTTTTCGTTATTTCTGTATATTTGATAAACATATTCACACACACACACCTTAATATTCAGATAGGTGGAGTATATGTAGTAGTTATTGATTGATATTTTTTAAATATATTATATGGGATAGATTGATTAAAATAAGAATGAGTCAGATAGCTGACTGATTACCTTGTTATGTGAAAAGTTGGCTATTTAAATGAAGTGAAACAGATGACCTCTATCATGTGTTTAAGCATGATGATGTTGATGATGATTAATCAAAGGGATAAGGCGAATAGACATACAAGTGAAAAATGAAGTTCAGAGTTCAGGCTATAAGAGCAGAGATATCAATGAAATTATTTTTCATACTAATTCCCTAACAGAACGTATAGGCAGGGCGGTAAAAGGAATAAAGATGCAATTATTTTCGTCTAATTCAATTTTAATTAGGAGTAGGCTTAAGTGTCTTCACACAGCCTCGATCAGTTTTTTAAGAAAAGGTGAAGAGTGAAAGATACGACCTTAGTTTATGTAAAAATAATGACTAACTCAAGGTACTTGTGGCCGTAGTTATCCAGTGAACAATGCTGTGACGTTTGAAACGACGGGTAATGTGTTCGAGTTCCATTGGGGACACCTTTACTCACTGGAAAATTCAGGTACATCCGGTTGATGAGTTCCAAATAGGACGATTTGTGCATCCTGAATTCCACTACTAGTTACCACCCGCAAAATTACTTCAAGTTAATCCCCAGACATCATTGAAGCATCCTCACTAGCAGCCAACATGTTAAGACATTTCGATCTAATCAATCAGCGAGAAAATCAAAATTGAATTGAAAATAAGTCCTTGCATTTCATTCAGTCAAAAACGATACATAAGATAAAACTAGAAGCACAATTTATGTCTTGGTAAATCAATACTGATAAGTTGTGGTACTCTAAAATGGTCAATGAATATTTAAGACTGATTTCATCATGAACTAACACCACTTAAAGAACTAATGCGAAACAAAAAAGGAATTAAAGTTTAATTGGAGTGAGGTAATCAAATTTACTGGTAAAACATGCTTTCATGTCAGATAAATTTATTTAATATATGACGCAAAGATACAGTATTAATTAGCAACCTTTTGAGTACAATTTTTTGCCTGTAATCATATCAGTGTATTCAGATTACCTCCTAACTTGAATTGTACGGTTTTTTAAATCCTTCTTTTCTATAAATCCCGAGCAAATACTGCATCATTCCTTTGTAAGTATTTGGTGTTGATTCGGTAATTAATCCCTCTCTACACCTAATTATATTACTACTTTCTAATGCTTTTACCCTATCCCTCCTTGTTTAAGTGCAGGCATGGAGGTGACCAGGCTTTTTTCTAGATTATTTTACTTAGCGGGGACAGTTATTCTAGGTTAGTGGAATATATGTGTTCTGATAACCTAACTCACCTCGATATATTCATTTGACTTGTTTGTAATTGATCTCACAATCATTAAATTGTGTTCATTGGAGCCTTGTCCGATAAAGTTTATCTCTGAGTGTATTTGTTGGTTTAAATGATACTTTAATTCCGGTCTTAATAAGAATCCTCCATAGTGCTTTTAATATTCCTTCTTTATATCATCGTACTATTGAGGTTTTGGATCTACTTTATGTTTTAATTATTTACATTATTACTTCTACTTTTTTTTATTAAGCCTAATAAACTTTTGAATGAATTCTAGTGGACAGTCATTTAGCTCTAATGTTTATTTATTTGAATTTTCTGACCTACTGATCAGACTCCTGACTCAATCATATGAACATTTGACTAAACCCAGTTTTACTAATTTTGTGTGGGATGATCAAAAGTCTAAGTATCAGTCGGAATGTGACAGTATCTTAGATATGCTAGTATCTAAACTTCCAGTTCAGTTTTACATTCTAACATAGCTGATTCACTTCTCTCCTTTTTTAATCCAGAACTGAACTGGCTTCCATCTGCTTCTGAGTTTATTGTGTGTAGAGAAACTAGAGAGATATTGAGGTCTTAACACCGAAAAGATTTCGTCAAAATATCTCCACCCTGCCTGTTGTTGACTATCAACTTAGCAGCTGCATCACATCATACCACCAATTACAGATAATTCATACTGAAAAATCGAATATGTCTATCCTCAAAAGGATTCTACAACGGTATACTATAATTCACTGCAGCACTTAGTTCCCATCTGGTGAGTTATAGCTATTACCTTCTTTTAGTCAACCAAATTTCGGGGAAGAGTTAGGTAGTCGTTCCTGGCCTATCCCACTAACTTACATAAAACATTTATACTCATCATTTAATACTTTCTGTACGCACATACATTTGTTATTAACACTTAAGGAACGATTCTTCCTCCATCAGATATCTGCTTTCTCCTGCTTTGGATCTACCTTCTGTCTCTACAACATCCGTACAATATCAAAAAGTAGTTACTGGTTTGACTATGCCTGGTCAATATAGTGTGTCTACAAAACATCCCACAGGTTTCGGGAGATTCTTTAGACAGTTCTTTTGGATACACCAGTTCAGTGATAATATTAAACTCTAGAGCGGTGAACTCACTACTGAAATGGATCCCAATAGACCGTAGTCTGCATACACCTCAGTTGAATGGATCTGTAAGGATGAAAAAAGGTATGCTGAGAATATCTCTAGAATCTTACTCCTACAATTTCATAACGGTAGTAGTCTTTTACACTTATGTTCATACAATTATCTGTTCTTGATAAGCATCACCTGGCGATCAAAGAACCTAGGCGAGCGACAGACATAAATAGATCACTTAGCTAAACGTTATTGACAAAGATGATCGGTGGAAAACTTCCGCTCTTTGCTGAACACCTAAGTTGAATTCCATCAAGTATTATTGTTTTTATATTATTATTATTCCCTTGAGTTCCCAGTGGAAAATTGGGCTTCAACAACACATCTCAACTTTGTCCTATCTTCTGCCGTCCTCTTCAGCTGGGTCCATGATTGCTCATAATCCCTCATCTCCTCCTCACACGATCACCCTCTCACTGACGATCCACTCATCGTTTCCAATTCGGGTTCCACTTGAGCGACGGCGTGCATTGTGCGTGATCTCAATCAATGGTCTCCTCAGCGTATGCCCAATCCATCTCCATTTTCTCCCATATGTTTGTTGAACAATCAGCTCTTGGTTGGTTAGTTGCCAGCCATAGTTTCTTAGTGTTAATCCTTTCTGACCAACCATTTGATCTTCAGTATGGAACCAGTGAAGGCAGCTGTTGATAAAATTCTACAACAGGCTAAGTTTCTGACCCGTACAGAAGAACTGACTTACTTCACATTTGTGTTGAAAATTCAATTCTTGTTGTTTATTCTGACTGAGTTCAGATTTCCAAACTGGTTTCAGGTTGCTGAAGGAGTATCTTGCCTTTCCAATTCTGACCAGCTTTGATATCTTCATCCATTCCGCTTGTGACTGAAACGATTGTTGATAGATGTGTGATGGAGGCAACTTCTGTCAAATCTCTCCCTTTGCTGGTGATTAGTGTTGGTCGCTGTTGCCGTCACGTAATAATTAATCTCAATGCCTGAAACTAAAAGAGTTTAAAGATAACTACCAGGAAACAATTAAGTTTCCGGCTTTTGATGAGAAGATGAAGCTTGTTATTGGAAGTGTAATGAAATTACTCATCCTGAAGAAGTCTGATATCATATCCAAGCTGTTGTGGAAACGCAAATAATGGATATTCATAATCTGAAGTCAAGTGTTAGTAAATATCGCTGGATTTCTGCAAATTAATCCCAAATGACGGATAAAATCAAATCAACATGTGCAGGTTCATAGCATGACGTCAAGAGAAAATCAATCAAACTTAGACATACAATGGGTCATCACAATGACGTCAAACAGAACGAAAGTGAAAGAAATGGAAAAGACATCAATAGAAGTCAAAACCGTCAACCATTTAAACTTATTAAGGGAAAGGGATTATAAGAAATCTGTGTTATGTGCAATGATCTCCAGGAAGCATGAAACTTTGATAGTTTCTTAAGAGGAATGACTGAAACGTTGATCAGAAAGTTTCGAAGAGCAGTTCAAATAGCTTACAGCTACATTAAAACTGATCGCCATTTTATTTTATTTTTCCAGCTTTATTACTTCAGTTAATTTCGACAATGTTATTTCATACTGACTAATTTATTAACCTAAATATTTGACCTCTACTCAACTTATTATTATTATTTTAATCACTTCGACTCATCAAAACACCTGGAATTGTTACGTAACGTGTGCCGCTTGTTTATTTTGTACATTTAAGTGAAGTCCAACTTCCGTTACTGACTCTAGAATATCTTTATATATATTAACAAACTCACTAACGGATGTATTTATTCTCTCTTGACTTCCGATGTAATCAATTACGT